TATAGTATATTCTCACGGTATTAAAAAATCGTCAGGAAAAATCTCTTTTACTGATAGAATTTAACTTACAGTAAATAATTCATACAAAAATACCTTTAATAATCCCTTTCAAAAAATTTTTTAATGGATTATTGAATGTGTCTTTGACCAAATGCGTCTTTAAAAATCCCATTCAATTTTTTATAAACCAATAATTTTTTTTGTTTTAAGCATATACTGAATATTATGTTAATAATCGTCAGTATATAAAATATTTATATTGGCAGATAATTATATACTGTCATAAAAAGTTAATTTATATCGACGGTTAAATAAAATATTGATAAAAATATGATATATTCAGACAATATTAAAAATTTATCAGTAAAAATCTTTTTTATTAACGAAATTTGACCGTCAGTATAATTAAGTATAAGTATATAAAAAATATTTTGTAATGTTACTAAAATGATGAAATTATAATTTAATAATAAATTTGATTTTTTAATACATGACGTGGGATAATTTTAATCGTTGACGTATTTGGTGATGATGTAACCTTTAATCTATCAGTCACCTTATAAAATCTAATCTTATTTGAAAATAGAATGCGCATTTCTTTCATTCACATGTATTTGATCCTTTTGTCCCTCGTCCTGAGGACAGTTCAACTCCCCATCATCAAATCATGAAAGTGAGATGCCCAAAGTTCACTTTGGCAAAGGAAGAAACTCTTTACTTGAATTAAATTCCTACGCACAAGGAAAACAAAAAAAAAAAAAAAAGGTATATTTAAGACGGCAGACGGGAAAGAGGATTATCAAATCACCTGCTATTGTTGATTGAAATTTCATTACTTTGTGTCTTCCAATATATTTAGTGATCAGAAGAGAATATAGATTTGTAAGCATTGACCGTATCGATTTAGTCTTAATTTTATTACCCACTAAAAAAAAAATCCCTTAGCTACTAGAATTACTTACTACTCTTTACGTTTCATAATTAATATTTGATTTAAACATTTTTATAAATTTTTTTTGAATTAATAAATCATAATTAATTGATATTTATAAAATATTCTTTCAAATTTTGAAATATTTAATATGTTATCAGTAAAATTTTTAAATTTTATGAACGAAATTAGAGGACAACATATACTACTTTTAGATAATTTATAATTCTTATCCTCATTCATTAAAATTAAATTTTAAATAAAAACAAGTCCAATCTCCGTTGGCAATGGCATGATCGAAAATTCTGAATATTGATTTATCCCTTAATTTCTGGTATATCTCGTTGATAATTGAACGTTTCTTACGCTAATAATAATAGTTCTTACTCTCTTGCCTTTATCAAATGTCATCTGATCTTAGTGTTCAGTTTGTTTAAGCCCTGTTTTTGGTTTAAAATGCCAGATAGTCACTCAAGTCAGAGAAGTCGGACCCAATCCCATGACTGCCTGGTACGCTTCTCTTTCTTTTTCCTGCAAAACAAACAAAAACACTTCTTATTCTCGACCATATGCTTTTTAAAACTATATATTCATTGAGTTTTAAAAAAAAAATCATTACCTTTACCTTATGCAAGAAACTAGTTTCTTGTTTCTACTTTATCTTCTGTCGGCAGATCATGATATTATTGTTGATTCGAATAAATAGTAAAAAAATTAATAATGACTTGTTTTTTTTAGAGGATAAGGATTTAGATAGAAAGGTGAATTTCGAATATTACATTCTTTAATATTCATTCAAACACATTTATAGGTAGAACTTGTAGAAAAAAAAATCAAATACATTTTCTCGATGCATGTTTCCAAACAAAACATGCATTTTTTTATTAGAAAATAATGAATTATTTGTGAGAACAAAGACAAGAAAAGAAAAAAAAAAGTTTGCCTAAACTTACCAGATGACAATTTATGTGGGAACAATGGCACGTGAATGCTTAACTTTGCATTTAAGTTCTTTCTGTACAAATTCAATGGATAGCCAGAGTGTTGCTAATGTACAATATCACATCTCTTTTTCCTCCTTTAAGAGTTGATTAATTTTCTTTCTCAGGCCCACTCCAATGACGAATCCAAATCAGGGAGAAGAATTGATGAAGGCAAAGAAGAATGTGATGGAGACCAAAACAGTATTTGTGGAATCCAAGAAGACTTGCATCTGTTCTCCCACAAACCACGCTGGTTCCTTCAGGTGCCACCTTCATCGAACCGGTGCAGCTCAAAACTCATCCTGCTGGAGTTCAGTAGCCAACGGTATTGGGATGGGAAACAGTCTCAATAAGTTAAATTCCAAGTCTCAGGATGGTCATGAGGCCATTCTCTCCAGGTTTGGTAGGGCTTCTTCTCTGAAGCTGACCCATTCATGAAGGCAGTCTGACAGGCCAATGCCGATGGGCTTCTGCTTCTCTGGTCAGTATCATTCCAGGTTGTAAATATAGCAAAAGTGGTGCTCCATAAATTTGACAGTGCTTTATAATTTCCCAATGTTTTTTTGAAGTGGGGACATTTTGTAGGTACTAAACTAATCCAACTCTCCTGAATATCATCAATTTCCTTGAACTGAATCTCAAAGAGGGGCAAAAACTGAGAATGTTTCATCAGGCAGGCTTAGTTACTGTTGCAAGCCCTTCGTCTCCTTTCAACATGACTAAAAAATAAATAATGTTGATGGTGTTGTCAAAGTCAATAGACTCACACATCCCTACCAGACTGTCAAATCAAACCATCGAGCCCCTTTGGAACACCTAATAAATGGACTTCTGAGGCTCTTCATAAATCACATCGTCCCCATGACAGTACGGATGCTGCTTGGGATTACCCTTGTGTCTCTCTACATTGATTTGCCTTTCTTTTCTATTACGTGGTAGTACTTTTTTTTTATCCTTAAAAAGTTTAATACAGCTTGAAAAAAGAAAAAAGAAAAAGAAAAGAGGGGTAAGAGAGAGCTTGTTGTTAAGTAACAAGAGAGCACCAGTGCTCTGGGAAATCAATGCATGAATTCATTGAATTCTTGTTTCGGTGTATTTGTTTTATCTGTATTGGCAATAGATTATTAGATTTCATTAGTGGTATTGAAGCAGAAGCAGAAAAAGAGGGGAAGCAAGAAAAAGCAGAGCTAACAAATGAGGATATGGATCCTAAAAGGAGCATAAAATTGCATTATGATCCATGTAGCCGAACCCTTTCTAATAAGAAACACTGTGGTTTATTGAATTCATTTCTTTGTTCGTGTCAGCGTTGCAGTATACCTAAACTCTGACAGATACAGGCTCTGTCATTTTAATAAATATGAAATCAATGTTCCACTTTGACAAGTAATTTTCCACATTAGGTTTCGCGACAGTAACAGTGAGCCTGTGAAGCTAAAAAAAAAAAAAAGAACCAGTATGCATAATAATTCCCGCTATCTCCTAGCAGTAGCAATCTAGCAGATAAAAGAGGAAATGTTCTTGAATAATTCATTTTTCCTTTCATTCCCGTCATTGCCAAATTCAAGGAGCCTTGTACTAACATATTCGGTTAATGCCTCTCTATAGACAGAATACCGGTAATTTTAGGTGACAAGGGATCAACAGATACATTGCTAAATGGTTCTAAATTGGATACGCTGCTTAAACCATATGAAATTCAGATTAGATAAGAACTTTATGAATCTGAGAAATTACAGGTATACATTTGCCTTTTAGATGTTCAATGATAATGAAGTTCCGAGTTTGTTTTGCTTATTTTCTAGAATTTGACTTTCAGGTGTGGTATCCAGTGACCCCTGCAATTGGTAAGCTGTCTTTTGAAGGTTCAGAGTGTGTTGAAGAGGTAGGGCTTTTAGGAATTTATGTAATTTGGGACCCTAGTCTACGGATTCATCAGCCAGTCCAGATCATAGGTCAGGATACACCATATAAATAAGGAGTTACGAATCTCCTTGATCACGTACGTACTCATGTACAACAGTTGGCAAGAATTAGCCAATAGCTTTGTATCTTCGATGATTTCCTTGGATTCTTCACCTTTTTCTGCTTAGCTTGGTTGAAAGATTACCTTTTACTTGATTGAAAAGAAAAAAAAAAAAAAGGGGAAAAAGTTGGATTAACTAGAAACTCCTTATTCGGGGTGTATCTCCAAGGAATCCACTAATTACTTCTTCAACCATGTTTGGTAGGTACCATTGAAGACGCAAGAAAACAAGGAAAGTTAAAAAGGAACAAAAATCAAACATGGAGAAAAGTTTGAGCGATTAATCTGTCAAAACAAATTTGCAGAGGAACTTAAAGTCGGAAGCTGAAAGTACAGATGCTGAAGGACTTCAATCCTCAACTGATAAAGGGGATCGTGATTCAAAATCTAGTGTTTCCCGTTCCATCTCTTGAGGATTTGGGGAAGAGCCAAACGAAGAAGGACTATGAGGAGTTTTTAGCTGATAAAAAGCCATCTAAAGATGAAATTGAATATAAGCCCCGCAAGGAAAAAGGGAAACATGAAAGGTGGTGGTGATTAAGCAACCGACGCAGTTTTCATACTTGGGGAAAAAATAGGTTGTTACACCATTGTGCATTTGCTTGGTTCAAAGAACAAATTAACTGTACGGCAACCGCATGTGTGTATAGAAAGTCCATGTTGTATTTTGAGGGCTGGGCAGTATCAGATTTTGTGGAAAATACCATTCTGATTTTTGCATTTGTAGTTTAGAGCTCTCTTGTTGGCAAATGGTTAAACTCTTTGTTTGACGAGGAGAGACTCGGTCGTAATTGTCTGGATGTAGGGCTCCTTTCTAAAGAAAATGTAAATCCTGCTGAAAATAACTTACTGGTAACATTCTTGTGTCTATTTTTGTTTTTGGGATTAGAATTGGCACAGATATTGTGTCACAAACCACCAAGTCTCAAAACATTCAAAAGTTGACACAATCCATATTGGAATCCAGATTCTCATGCTATTTGGAAGGATTAATAACCTTTTCTTTCTCCAGAATTACTCCATTTTTATCAACCTCACCATTGTTCGATGATCACAAAACCTAATGCTTAACCCTGCTAACTAAAGGCGCCACCAACTTTGACAAATTGTTCCTTAAGAAGAAGATTAAGATTGCTCAATAATGAGAAATCCCACCAGTATTCAACACAAAAAAAAGAATTACATTCCAAGCAATGATATCAGATATGGACTAAAAGAAAGCATCCCGAACCACCTCCTTGGCCAGGGCTGTAATCAAGTTAGCAGCTAAAGAATTACATGTTTCAGTAGCCTGAGTCCAAATGTATTTAGCTGTTGGGAAAATTTTTAAATTAGGTCTAATGGCATTCACATTACAGTGCATCACATTTCATTTCCGATGGAACTGATGAAACTATTGGCAAGTTACCTGGTTCTCGAGGTTTACATGTATTTTACAATTATAAGCTAGTCTCATCATGGGCTTTTAATTCAAATATATTAGATCAAATTGTACTATAAATCTTTGTACTTTTAATAAAATACGAATTTAATCTTTTTACAATAATTTTAATATTGATAATATCTCTACATTTCGGGATTTTAAATTTCGATCGATGTTTGATTTCTACCGCTAAACTCGATGACATGGTTTGTTGACCCAAAGACATCACTGATGACCTTGTTTATGTGGCAAAGTTCATCATATAATTGTTGAAATTATAATGACATGTATTTTTTGGCCACATGCCCTATTTGTACGTAATACACAAAAAAATAAAAATAAAAACCAAATTTCTTTTTATTTCTCTCTCTAAAACCTCAGTTTCTATTTCAATTTCTCTCTCTAAAAACCTACCTTCGCAGCTTCTCTATCTAAACTCAGATTCGGGCAATGGACTACCCAAATAATCCTCTACTTCTATTTCACTATCCCTGCTGCCTTATCTCCAGGAATTTCAACCTCACCTCACTTGTTTTGACATATGAACAAAAATTTCTGGCATAAGAACAAACAGTCTCCCCAAATACTTCAACTGGGAGTTTCCTTGAAACAGACCTGCACCTGCTGCCTTATTTTCAGGAATTTCCTTGAAAAGAACACTATGGCTTGACCCAGATAATTGGTTGTTCTCCAAATAAAAAGTACCCAACCTAGTCAAATTGTTAATATTCTCACGGATCATACCCCTGAAATTATTGTTTACAAGATTAAGCTTGACTATGTTTTGTAAAGAGAATAAGAACCCAGGAATCTCAGCAAAAATCCCATTCCCTTCTAAGTAGAGGTTTCGAAGGGAGGTAAGCTTGGCAAAGTCAGATGGGATTGACCCGGACAGAGCATTGAAACGAAGAGAGAGTTTGGAGCTGAGTTAAGTTTGCCAATGGCAATGGGAAGCTGATGACAGCCCCATTCCAGGAAGTCTTAACTCGACCGCTCTGTTTTGGACACAATTTACACCAGTCCAATTACAGGGGCTGCTTGACAGATTCCATAAAAGCGAGCGTCCACCAACAGCTGCTTAGAGAGCCACCTGAGCTGCCCTGTCGGAAGCTAGATCTGAGCTCACAGCGACCAACATTGTTGTCCATAACACCAAGAAGAAACCAACTATGTTGGGATTTAATCATTGTTTTTCTTACTTTAAAAAAGGGCCGAGCAAACAAAGGGTTTTGTTTGGTTTCCAATGGTGGAAAGTGTTTTTCAGGGGTTAAGAGATTGGAATGAAGATGGATTTCATGGAGTGGATGTTGGAGGATTTTTGTATTTCAGAACAAAAATACTCAGGTTGGGTTAAGAGAATGAAGAGTTTGTAAAACTCACCGCTTTGGTGAGGAAAGAAAGAAAGAAAGCAGAGAAGCCACGTAAGCTCACCAAAAGTAAAATAATGCCAATACTAAAATTACTAGGTTTTTTAATCCGTGCAAATCACAGGATTTTTTTTTATTTTTTATAATAATTTAAAAAGAATGGATTTTAAAATAAATTTTATTTGATTTAAATTAACAAAAACTGTAAAATTTTTTAATAAACATAATTTTTTAAATGTCAATTATTTTTAAAATTAAATTATTAATTCAATAAGTGCATTAATAAGAAAGAAGATTGGAAATTGACATATAATACACTTCATAGTTCTTTATATATAAGAATTTAATATAAAAAATATTTAAATTTTAAATGTTGTAAATAATATAAGAAAAGAGTGAATTTTTAATAAATTTTATTTTATTTAAATTAAAACAAAACAGTTGAATGATTTGTTTAATTAATTAATTTTGAAAATTAAAGTATATCACATAAAGTAAAATCATTAATTCAAATTCTCATATGAAATTTTGAAAGATAAAAGGCATTTAAATTTAAAAAGATATATATATCTAAACTATTAAGAAATGTATTTTAAAAGATAATATATTATTATATTCGAGATTTTTAAATTTTAAAATATATATATTTAGATCATCAACAAATATATATATTTAAATTATTAAAAAAATTCATTTTAAAAGTTAATAGATTCCAATCATGTTAAAGACAAAAGTGTCCCACGCTATTGAGCAGCCATTGTGGTTATTAAAATTTTTTTTTTAAAAGATAATATAATAATATTAGAAATTTTTAAATTTTTAAAAAATATATATTTAAATTATTAAAAAATTTATTTAAAAATATAATATATTTAAATTAAGTTTTATTTGTATCAATTTAAAAGTCTTTCGTGCAAATATTCACATGAATTTTGAATTAAATATGATATATTTGAATTTAAAATTTATGTAAAATTTTTAATACTTTATAGATTTTAATTTGAATTTAAATAATTTTTTAAATAAAATTACTTGACAAATAATATAATATAAACATTATATTACATATTAAGAAAAAAAAGTTATTCACATAAGTATTTATATCAATAAATCTTATCTAAGAATTTTATATGTTGTAATAATATATATATATATATATATACAAATATATATATATATATATATCTTCTCTAATAATTTTATAAGTTGTAATATAATATATATATTAGAGACAACTAAATCCGCACTTAATTAAAGTATAAGGAGGTTTAATATCACATATGACCATTATATTACAAAACCTTCAAATTCTAAACTCCCATCACAAAGACAGAATATATTTTTCTCATCTAACAATCCTAGAGAGTTCAATAAAAAAGAAGAGACATATAAATTCATAAAAAATAAAAAACAGAGCATTCCAACAAAGCGGCCAAAATTTGTATATTCAGGAGTTACAGAATTATAGCATAACATAACCAAGAACAATAACTTTTGATAAGCAAAATAGAAATTCTAACACTAAAACTTGAACTATCAGTTCTTACTCACTCTCCTCGCGCCGCAAGAAATCAATACATTCCTTTACTGTTACTGAGAATCGACCTCAGAGTCCCCAAAATGGCAAAACCCAGAAGCGGACTAACATCCAAGGCATTGAAAACGGGCGGAATTATATTCCTAAACAGATTCAAATAAGGATCACAGAGAGCCACGATAGCTGAAAAGGGCTGCCGCTCCCAGGGAACGTTGGGGAACCAACTGAGCAAAACCCTAACCATCAAAACCCCACTGTAAATATCAAGCCACTTAGCTAAACCCGCCGCCGCCACCACCGTCAACGGTGTGTTTAGGTATCCGCTTGGGCTGTCCTTTACGGAAGCAAAGAAGAGCGGGCCCATGGTGGAAAGTGCGTTGGGATTCTGGTAGATTGTTTGGAGAGCAAAATTTTGCATCACTTTGGTGAAGATAATGGTGGCAGAGAGGGATAAGGAGAGAAAGGTTTTGAGGGTTCGAGTTGAATCGTTGGGTGGGGACTGAGTTAGGATTGGGGGGGTTTTGCAGGGTGTCGTCGGGGAAGGAGAAACGAAAGCTAAATGGGTAAAATTGAGGTTTTTGGTGTTTGGCTTTGAGGGTTTGATGGGGAGAGAAAGGCGGAGGAAGTATGGTTTGGAGGTGAAGATTGGAGAATTAGGGTTTCGTGGAGGAAGGTAGATTGAAGGTCGGAGAAGGAGGGTTTGGCTGAGTAACGACATGTTTGGAAATTTTTTTTCTTTTTGTTTTTCTCGAGAAACAATCGGAAAATAAAAGAGAAGGATTTGAGCTTATGAGGAAGGAAAGTGGCTTACCTGCGGCTGAGATATGTTACGCATTCATCTGAGTCAACTCGAGTTAGAAAGCTTTCTTTTCCGTTAACCATCTTATTAACGGTGTAAAATTATCAAAATATTTTTTTCAATTTTCTTCAGGCAATGTAATGTACAGAGTTTTTTTTTTTTTTTTTCTTAAAAGAAAATCAAAGTAAAATAAACAAAATAAAATCTATTAAAAATATGATATTTTTTATATGAAGCTATAAAAAATTTTATTGCTTTTTTTCTTTGGCCAGATTTCCAGGGTATTTAGTTTTATTTCTTCAGCACCAATTTATTTTTATTTTTTTGGAATGAAAAGTAATAATAATTTGTGTGCGGACTTTAATTGACAGGAAACTCTTAATCAGGCCCATAGATGACAAACCCAGTAATGAAAGAAACCCAATAACTAGATGGAGATGAGATAACGCCCAACAACTAAATGGAGATGAGGTGCAACTTCATTACCTTGGCCTGATTTGCTATTCACTTGACTAGCTACAAAATGAATTCTAATATGATTGAATCAACAGACTCTCTTACACCTTCTCTCTCTATTTCCTTTTGTCATCCAAATCACATATAGATATATATATAGCTTTTGTAATCTTTTATACATAGATCATTTTCGTACCTCCCTTATAAATGGTATCAGAGCTCTAGATTTGTATAAAAGTTTGCTAAAGCTTGTATTATTGGTTCTACAATAAAGATCTACTTATTATTCATCTTGTAAGATTTTCTTTACTCTTACTTGTATCTTCTGCATAAGCTCTTTGTTTTAAAGCTCATACGTGCATATATGAGTGGATAGCTGGCTTTTGTGGCTTGAGTTGCCTTTTGTTGCTAGCGTTTCAGAACAGTACACCGATTTTAAGCACCAGAAACATGGAAACTTATGAAGAAAATTCTTGTATTTGTCAAGATAAGTCTTATAATCATGAATTGCATATAGATCCTAAGTATGAATCTAGTAATATTAGCATAAGTAGAACTGTAAATGGTTTAATAGATTTAACTTATTCTTTTTTTCATAAACTTTTTGTAAAAATTGATAATATTGAAGATAAAGTAGATATGCTTGTAGAAAAGATGGACCAAAAACATGTTCCCCTGAGACATCTAAAGATTTTGGACCACTTTACTATGGCAATATTATGATGAACGATGACAAACCCTCATCTTCTACCTCTGCAAAGGCGAAACAAGAACAACTTGATTTCGACTCTTATAAGTATATTATTGAAAATTTTAAATTAAAAATGGAGCAAAGTAATGATCTGCAACAACGGATTGATTACCTTAATGCTATAGAGACTCTTTATGAAGAACATAAAGACCTCTTTCTTAAATACAAATATCATTATATGCTCAACTATGACACAACTAATGCCAGTAGTGAAGAAGCAATAGTGATATAATAGATGATAATTTTAAAATTCTTGCTACTAACCCAATAGTCAAAGATGAACCACCTTCATCCGATGAAACCACATCTGATGAAGAAGATAGTTCTGATGATCAAATAGATCCATAACCAACTAAAATTCTAACCCCTCAACCAGAGGCGCGTGGGAAGAGAAAAGCCGAAGCAATATCTAACCCAGATATTGATGATCTAAGGCATTTTCCAGATTTAATAGATCCAGATATAATGGATCAACATCTTCCTCATCTCAAGGAAAAATACTCTCACTTAAACAAGGAAGAGATCAAAGATGAGATTAAACAAACTTCTGATTCTGGCCAAACAAGTCAGGTTCAGACAGAAATCCCTATAATTGATTCGTTAAACAAACGAATGGTTTCTCAAAGAGGTACATATTTAGACTTAACTAAAGTCTCTCTTCAAAACTATGAAAAAACCATAGATAATTGGGCACAATCTATGTCTATTGTAGTCACAAATTATAAGGAGACATGGGGCAAAAAAAGATTCTTCAACTACTTTTGTGGCATATGGCAAGGTGATGTCCTTCAATTCCTCAAAAAATGAGAGAAGACAACCCTCGGAGAATAACAAAAATCCTCTCTGTTAGCTGTCGGTAATATCCTTCAACTTTTGAAAGATTTAACCCAAATCTTGAAAAATGAGTTTTACGGTAGTACAGAATCCTTGGATCCTACTCAAGAAGCTCAATTTATTTTATCAAAGTTTAAATTATGTGATATAAAGTTTTTAGATGATTTTTCTAAAAAATATCTTTCTGAATATCAAAAATTGGATGAAAAACATTCAAAATTTTGGTTACAATAATATTTTCTTAAATTTCCCTTACCATGGGATGAATTAAGTTCTCAAAATTATCCTGTTTACCTTGAGTTAAAACTCAAAACTGTTCATGCTACCAATCCCAATATCGAACTGTATGATACCCTTAGATGTAGAATACACTACGTTCAGACTCAGGTAACAGGTAAAATCTAAACTTTCGTATAAATAATGTACAAAGATTTTGGAAAATGAATTTGAATTTGGTTGTAATAAACAATCTTTTTCAAAGAAATCTCGTTTTAAGAAAAAACGAAAATATTTTTAGAAAAAATGGAAACCAACAACTTTTAAACCTTAAAAAGGTAAATTTGTTGTTAAAAAGAAAAAAAAATCTTCTAAAACTAATTGTAAATGTTTTCTTTATGATCAAGAAGGTCACTATGCAAACGCTTGTCCTAACAAAGGAAAAAGTGGGAAGAAAATGATCAAAAAACTTGATGAAAGTTTTCTTCAAATTTGTTTTGTTGAAGACTTATCGAATAAAGAAATTTATTATGAAGTTTTCTCTGAAACTGATAATAGTTCTTCTAATGATGAATCTGATTTTATTTTTATGCTGAATACTAAATCTAACATAGATAATGTTTCAGTTTCCTTTTCTACAGGTACAACAACTACCAACGAAGAAGGTATGATTAAACTCAAAAATATTATGAGAAAAACTCATTTTATTTCTGATAATAAAATCAAAGAATTACAACTCATCAAACCAAATGAGATTTACAAGACAAGTTGGTTTAAAAAGTTTCAACCTTGGTCTAAACGCCATATAGAAAAACTATCTAGTGATACAGTCGCTACTAACACTAAACAAAGCTTAGTAGAAATTTCTCTTTCTACCGAAAAGAAAATAAACAATTTTCTTTCTAAATATCTAAAGGTCAAATACATCCATATAGGAATGATTTTGATCACCATTAAACCATTATTTTTATCCATAAAGGATATTCCAATAATAGCTGTTTTAATGGATCACCGTTTTCAAAACCCTGCAAATGCTGTAATCGGAGGAATCCAATCCAATTTAACAGCAGGAGTAGTTTTATTTAAAGTTAAATCAAACTATTTTATTTTTATTTTTGATGAAAACATTGAAAAATGTTTATGTCTTCGAATCAAAATACTCAATTTTAATTTCGAATCGACCTCGCATGATCTTTCAATCAACTGGTCAGTGGTTTATGAATTTACAAATACTACTAGTACCTCTATCAAACCGATAGATTCTAATATTATTGAAAATTTTAAACCAAACACTTTTGATTCAGAAATTAAACCTAGATTAGTAAATCTCGCAAACTTATCAATCCCAAAAGGATGGTGTCTCGAAGATCTTTCAAGTACTTCTGAAACACAGAAAGTGCCAGGTTTAGAATTTTTCTCATCAGGAAAAAATCTTTACTTTAAAAACCCAAATGAATCAATCAGTTTTAATCCAAACCTAGTTTTACCCCCAGTAAATATTTTTGAACATCAACCAGATGAAGATATTGAGAGTATAACTAGTAATCAATCTTTTTGTACTCCATATCGAAGTTCTTTTTCAGATTTCATGGTACCAACAGTACAGAAACCCTTAGACGAGCAAATAGTATACGCCAATCAGGTACTACTAATACTGCTCAAATTCTTATTTTTATCGGAGATAATCCATCTCAGTAAGGTACAGTTGATAATCAAACCCATTATCATTCTATTAATTCTGTGATTAATTCACATTCTTCTTCTTCTAGAAAAACTAGAAATGAAGATATTAAAATATTTCATTCTATAAATATTTTTCGTATTTCTCAAGAAATAATATCATTTGCCAGTAAGGTACGATATTATACCTATGTTAAAGGTTATTTTTATTTTCAAAACTATAAACCCTATAGTTTGAATATTTTGATTGACACAAGAGCAACAATCTCTAGCTATCGACCTAATACTTTACAGTCAACCAAATGACAACCCATGAAGCATCTTATAATAATAGTAGGTATCGATGGTAAAGAAACCATTGTTAACCTAAAGGCAAAAAAATATACCTTTACCTTAAACGATATAAAATTCGTTATACCTAAAATATTATGTTTTCCTAATATGCATGGAGACATACTATTAGAAAATAATTTTATACATAAATATTTACTCTTTTCAGTTTTTTCTGATTATCTTGTTTTTACTATTGATAAAAAATCAATAGATGTTCTTTTATTATCCAAGCACAATCATGTTTGTGATAATGGTTTTCGACCAGAAATAATATATATTTATGAACTTAAAGCTATTAATGAAAAACATTGGCTTTATAAAATTTTACAAGAAAACTTCAGTGAAGACCCATTGAAGCTTTGGAAGCGCAATCCAAGATACTGTGAACTTACTCTTCAGTCTCCAAAAGAGATTATTCGAGTAAAATCAATGATCTATACCAAACAGGATATAGATGAATTTGAAATTTAAATTTCAAAATTGCTCGACAAAGGTCTAATAGAACCAACTACCAGTCCACACTCCAGTCCAGCATTCATGATAAGAAACCATTCTGAGATTAAACGAGGTAAACCCCGTATGGTTATTAATTACAAGAAATTAAACCAAAATCTTGTTTTTGATGGTTATTTTATCCCTCGTAAATATGTTTTAATTAATTTAGCAAAAAATGCTAAATATTTTTCTAAATTCAATTGTAAGTCAGGTTTTTGGCAAATCATGCTAAATGAAACCTCTAAACCCCTTACTGTTTTTAGTGCACCAGCATGCCATTATCAATGGACTATTATGCCTTTCGATCTATGCAACGCACCTCAAATCTTCAGTATTGGATAGACAGTATTTTCACAAACATAAATAATTTTGTTGTGTATATATTGATGATATTTTAATTTTTTCTAATACTCTAGATGAGCACAGGAAACACCTGACTCTTATTGCTCAAGAATTTATTTTACACAGTATTATTTTAAGTTCCAAAAAGGTTGAACTTGAAAAAATTGAAATTGAATTTCTTGGTCTTAATCTTTCCGCAAACGGACTAACCCTGCAGGATCATATTATTTCCAAGATCAGAGACTTTTCAGAAGAACTAAAAAATATCAAACAAGTACAACAGCTGTTAGGTATACTTAATTATGGCAGGTAATTTTTCAAAAATCTTTCCAAAAAGGAAAGCTATCTTTTGCGTAAATTACGTAAAGATAATAATTTTGTCTGGACACCTAACGATTTTGATATTGTCAAACAGATCAAATCAGATTTAACCACTATATATAAGGTCTATTTACCTAAACAAGGTGACCCATTAATTTTAGAGACAGATGCCAGTGATGAACATTAGGGATGTGTCTTAAAAGCTAAAAATCTACATAAAAAAGATGAATTGATTTGTGGATATAATTCTGGTAAGTTCAAACCAAACGAAATAAATTATATTATTTTAAAAAAAAAAATTTTAGCCATAAAAAATGGTGTACAATGATTTCACATCTATTTAGTCTCGGAGTTCTTTGTTATCCGAACAGATAACCAAGCAGTCAAAAACTTTCTCTAAAATAAAAAGCTTTCTGATAATTTCAGGTGAATTAAGTGGCATAATTTTTTTTGTTCTTATCATTTTCAGGTAGAGTTCATCAACAGAGACAAAAATCTCTTTGCAGACTTCCTAAGTATACCTCATGGATCGAGAAAAACACCCAATCCATGATACTGGTGGATGGAGAACTATAAAGAAGAAATCAGGTAAAAAATTCTCTTCTTTTTCTTCTTCTTCTATTCCTTCTTCTCCAAGACCTCAGATCTCTACAAATCCTAACCAAAGATTTAACTTTTACAATAATCCTAACCAAGGATTATATCTCTACCAACAACCTCTTTATCGACCCCCTTTCATGAGAATTCAACCAGAATGCTCACAGTTTGCTCATGATCTAAACGACTGAACTCCTATGAGTTGTTCTCAAATAGTTTTTTCCACAGAATAACTGTTGGAACGAATAAAATTCTTTAACCCAGAGATAAAAGATTTTTACAATCCTGAACTTGAATCACAAGTCTATAATTTGTTAAACAAAGTATGAAAATCCCATCTCTCAGAAAATAAAACTAGCTTTCGAAAAGGGATGACCAACTTAGTTGAGTTCTTAGTCAAACAGGCTAAAGAATTTTAGAATTTTAAAGAAATAGCTTTCCAAAGTCTTCTATCAACCAATGTGCTAAAACAGCGAGATATTGATCTCTTTGCTTTGAAAGAAAATTAGTACAGTCTTCAAGAGATAAACAATTTATTGAATTTATGTGAATATTTTGATAAAGATAATTTTATTTCTTTTAAGCTAAATAAGCTTAAAAGAATTCTTCTCTTCAAAAAACTACGGTATTCTTAACCCAAGAATTATTTCAGCAAATTAATTCTTCTATTTTACAGTCAACAGAAAAACTGTTGGTTGAAAAGTTTTCAGATTATTATACTTCTACATATATGTATAATACATCTTTTGGTGAATACATACCTTAAACTAAAGTTTCAACTTGACCATGAAAGTTTTGATATAAAAAGTATTGAACTTGGTTTAGTTGAATAAATAACTGTACAAAACTATTCTTTTCACCTTTTAAAAGATTTTACATCTTTTATAAAGCACTACTTTATTGAATGTATAAAATGGTCAAAACACATTTTTTACGTTCATTTACTATATACAGTTTTTTGGGCACCTTTCAATGAGAAAGATTTTACCAACCATACCAAATATGGGAATTTGATACTGAATTCGGTGGACACTTTCTTCAACCCTATGATATACCTGATCCACCTACAGACCATATCGAATTCTCTGATGATTTAAACAAAATCATCTCTAAATATAACATCCTAAACTCCTATCACTTTCAAATAGGAACAGACCTTATGGACAAAGCAAAATTCTTTCTCCATTTAGCCACCAAACAAGACTATCCAAAAATAGCCTGTTGGACTGATGGCAGATGCATTTTTGTTAAAAGATTTATTGAACCACATGAAGATCTTGACATCAAAAATGTACCAGAAGCAATTGAGCTTTTGGATAAATTATCTAAAATGGAAGATTTGGATCATCCAACTGATCTCCTATACCAGTATAAAAAAGGATGACAGATATGGAACAAATCACATTTAGAATCTCTACAATCACCTCGGTCCCTTAACGCATGGATGAAGAATTTCATAACCTAACCAATGCTATGGAAGGATAAATTGTGCAAATTCTAATCCAGAATAAGCCAGAACAGACAGCCTACATAAAAGGACAAAACTTCATTCGACGCCAACGACTAGCAGACAGAAAATACTGTAGCAGTCACTATAGCAGAAGATAAAACATCACTGTAGCAGAAAAAGATAGAGATGTACTACGAAAAATACTATAGCAAGTCACTGTAATGGTACTGTAGATAAAAATTCTATTGTACACTATAGCGGGCAACTGTACAGAGTTACTGTTCATAGGTTAGAATTTTTCTATTTAAAGCTTCATTGTATCTTTGCTCGATGAGGCAAATTCTTCAGACTCTCTCTCTCTTACACCTTCTTTCTCTATTCCTTTTGTCCTCCAAACCACATATATATATATATAGCTTTTGTAATCTTTTATACATAAATTCTTTTCGCACCCCTCTAATTAGAGAACCAAATAGGCCAAAACCAAGAGGGGTGAAGGGGAAGATGTTGCTATATTTCAATTTGAATGTAAAAACATACAGGAAGGATGTTTAATCTTCAACATCATAAGGGCTGCAGGCTTCATAATTTGGTCAAGATTGGCAACATTTGATTTTGTTGTTACCAGATCATTGTAGATGAAGTCATGTACCTTAAGCACATCATTTAACAGTAGAAAAAAGACAAAGAAAAATAAAGCCAAAAGAAAGTATCCAAATTATATCAACACAAAGGAAATAATTGAGGGCGTAAGATGGGTGAGTACATATAATAAGCCTCTATAAACTTGGGTGTGATTTCCATGATGATCTTCTTCAGCATTTTCAGATGACCTACCATGACACACCATTGAACCACTGGACGTGACCCTAGGCTGAACCCTCGCCGCTTAGCCTTATTCCCCAACCGTATGGTGTTCCCGCTTCTCCTCCGCAGCCGCCTCCTCCCCCGGCACCACCCTACCAACACTGTTGAATTTGGAAACCTTGATATGGTTATGGAACCTTTCTTCAGCATCCTTTAAAAACAGCTGATTGTGTCAAAGTGTTTTAGTCGATCTGCATCTTAATTTCTTATATAGTGACTTTAAAAGTAGAGCAAGGTTTTATTGATAATGATGGTCATAATGGCAGCAATTATAACAATCATGATGCTAAAGGCTTAATGCTAAAAAGCTGAATAAAAAATTGTCTGAAGGAAGGATTTCATTCTATTCTTTTTCCTTTTGTGCCAGGGCTTGTGGTAGTAATGATTAGAAGAGATGGGGTTCCCGATCAAGCTTCAAATGAGTTCGAAGAAAACTAGTTGGTAAAAGGTATCAATCACCAAGGAATCCAATTATGCCATATCGCATGTTTGTCCAGGTTAAAAAAAAAAGGGGAGAGGTTCTTGTTATTCTTTAGTTTTCCAATTTAGGAGATTAAAGACTTTAATTTTTGGTCATCTTTTTCTATGATTCTGTTTCCAGTTGAAGTAAAATATTCATTGCATCTTAATCAATCCTTCCAATTAGGCTTCTTCCATTGGGAGTGGGCTTTAGATGATTTTGGATCACCAGAGCGCTAGTTATTGGGGTAGCTGCCAATGCTTAAACAGTGTCATGTCCTAGGCTTGTGTACCTGTCCGGAGCCTTGAATGGTTGACCTCTCCTTGGGTCATTTTTCTGTCACTAGATTTTCAATATTTAGAGGGGAGAAAACAAAGATACAAAAAAATCTGCTTAATCTAAATGCACAAGCAGGGAAGAAACAAACTTCATTCTTACCTTTCAGGATTCAATTTCGTGGACAAGTTATAAATTTTCATATGCACAAACATGTTTTTGCAATGAACAAGTAAACCAATTTGATTTGATAAACTTATTAAGTATATATTTGATCATTCCAAAACTTAAAATGGAAAGAAGTCTCTCTGGTCCCTGTTTGTTTTATGGTACAGATACCACAAGCAGATGCATATATGGGATGAATGGGCTGGGAACTTAATAATACAGTATCAGATTTCACTTTTCAGGTTGGCAAGTGCTTTCCTCAGCTCTCCTCTCCTGAAAGAAGATAAATTCAGGACCAACAAATACAAGACGCGTCATCTGACTCTTGATAATCCATAAGAGACTCCTGGAATTAACACATTTATATTCGGGTTATACTAACATAATTCGTGAATGTAGATATAATCATTCAAACCTTATTATCTCTGTTTTCTTTTAATTTCTCCAATTCTCCAATAAGAAATTCGTCTTGAGTGATAGCGAAGAAATGTTTGTGGAAAAAAAGGTGCCCTCGAAAAGTTGTTAGTTTTTATGTAATCTCCTTGGTTTCCTGATGGTAACATGGATCAACGATTTATCGTCAAGAAGCACCAACTATACTAAACATTCTTTGGGGCTTTGTCTAACTAGGGAAATAAGTGCTCAAGTACAAACTCAACCGTGTTGAGAAAACACTCAAAGACTCTTCAAGCATGTTTAAATTAATATGTGAGTGGCTTTGATTCAACCCTCTGAAAAAAAAAAAATATTGAGAGCCAATCCGGGCAAGGCAGCACTGGGCCGTCCATTCAAATCTTTCCTTCAAATGATAAAACTTGAAAGTTTTTATGGCTCAAAAAGAAATTGTCGGCAGGTAATTATACCCACTGTTTAAGTAGCATTATTCTTCAATGAGAGACAGATAGAGAGAGCAGGCAAATTCAATCTGCCTACTGCGAGTCTCCATGCAATGTAACTCCTCTTAGCTTTGAATTCTAGCTGCCTAGTCAAAGTCATCCATAACCCTACAACATGCACCTAAACATTATAACATATTTAAACTATTGGTGTTTCAGCAAGCTTTTGAAAGATCAGATCATCAATCAGTACTCTCTGCAAAGCCCTTATTGTTGTTGATGTATTTCTTAGAGGCCGGGTACTTGATAGCATTGAGATCAACTTTGCGCAGAGCAGCTTTCCCCAGATCAATGCCACAGATATCAGAGAGCCTGACAAGGTAGAGTAGAACATCAGAAAGCTCTTCACCCAGATGCACTTTTTCCTCTTCTTTCCAACCAGGCAATCCTTTTGGGACCTCTCCTTTCCATTGAAATATCTCTGAGAGTTCTCCAACTTCACCCACCTATATGAATCATCACAAATATTAAAAAAAAAAAGTTATACAATATATCAGAGTTTCGCCGTTTTAATGAACAAGAACCATGAATCTTTTAGAGCACGTTTAATTACTGTCTGAATATATGAATACTATAGGGAAAAAGGTACTACATAGTAATTTTCCATGATCACAACAACACAAAAAAGGGGAAGCATGTTTGCACTTTGCAGGGACAGCTATTCAAATTTGACTCTGTGCAAGACAGCATTCACAGACCAAGTTAGAAAAGTGGAAACCCTAACTTGGAAATCAAGACAAGTACCAGTGATAAAGAGAAAACAGAAAAGGCCCGCTTGCAAAGGTGCAAGCAACAAAGTTTTGTGTTTTAGGAAGCACAGAGCCACAGACTATGAGAGTAACGAGAAATTAAGCAATTATCTAACTGGTTTAAGCTGTATAAATGTTTGGTCAAATCTCCCCATATAGAAAACGAAAGAAACTGGAATAACAACAAAAATAACTTATACTGGTAAAATCTCTGACCTTTTCCATCTTTCTTGTCTCATAGAAATCATAGAGATAAATTACGAGGAAACTACCTAATATTCAAAGACAAACTTGAAAACCAGAAAACAAAAATTCATACAGAGAAAGATCAGTAACCTTGACGAAGTTTTGCTTGGGCTAACCGTAGCCTATAGAGAGATAAACATACCAGGGCCAAAAGGAGATTTCTAGGGCTATGAAACTGATCCCAGTCCCTTTCCTTGGCAAAGTTAGCCATTTTCTGCTTAAGAAGATCAAGACTCACACTCTGATCACCTTCCTGAACCCCACTCATCTTTCTAGCTAGCTAGTTAGTCCCGGCCTTTGTCTAAATGGACAAAAGAAAAGATGCTAGAGAAGATAAAAAAAAAGGAATAAGAAAACAGTAGAAAGACAAAAGCAAGTGCAGTTTTCTTAGGAAGAGGCGACAGCCAAATATAAAAAAGCGAGGGGGAAAGAGACCAGAAACCAAAGGGATGGTGAGGAAAGGCGTGAATGAATTTAATCCTTTGGTTGTCATTTGTCTTAATTTGGTAAATACAGGCTTTGTTTGCATATAGCTTTCTACACATACATTGTACAAATACAAGGCCAATTTAGCAGGGCCGAGGCTACAGCCTACAGCCTTACATGAAGCTGTTGACAGTCCAGTGCCACGTGTCAGTAGCCCAAATGGATTTTGGCCTCTCTCCTTGGGCCCCCTCGTGTGTTTTAGGTACCAAATGTTCTTTTGTTGCCGTTCTTCTAATTCTTTACTTTCAAACCTTTCCTTCCTGCTGGCAATCTCTGCATTTTCACTAGCATCAGGACCACGGCCAGGTGTCAGGAATCAGCTCAAGGAGTGGACATGGTACAATAGAAATTTACTTCCTTCTGTTTCTGTTTGGCCAAATTAATAGAGAAATAAACATAACATACCATAAAATCCCATCCCATTTAAGTATGTAATCCAACAGGGGTGAGTGGGTGCCAGCTCCGCCTATTAATTATAGGGTAACTTCATTTACACCAATGACTAAATGAGAGACAGAAAAACAATAGAATAGAACACCAAGTACAACTGAGTTTATAATTAACAAAAGGACAATTGCACTAAAAAATGTTTATTTTATCTTTGCTATAATGGAAATCACTTTACTTAAAATTCAAGATGATTATGATGCCAACTAAGTTCACATAAGCTATATATTCATCGGATTTTTTTTGTAATCTGATTAATGTAAATTGTTTGTTTATGCAACATATGGTTTTTGTTTTACAAAATGATCAAAAGGGGGACTTCTCATTGAACACCACGATTAGATTTTTTATATTTGACTTCTTGCGTACATGCCAATATTCAATGGTTTATTATTCTGATTATGAAAAAAAAATTTATACACAACAACATAGAATTTTGGAATTTATAGATTGCCACATGTTCATTATTTTATAATAAAAACTAATATGATTATTAAATAAAATATGCCATTGCTTATAAAGTTTAAAAATTCTATTCCCAAAAAACAATTATTATATTACGACTCGAGTTGCATAGGTGTAAGAGGACAAATTTTGGATTTGAATTGTACTTGTCTTTTTTTTAATATATATTACAACTAATTTAATAATGTTGATACTAACTTTTATAATGAACCTACTACTCATATCTGAAATTTTAATTTAAAATAAAATAGCAAAAAAAAAAAGAAAAATTATTTACACAAAACATATTTTTTAATGATTTTTTAAGTGTATTTTTTAATGAATTTATTAAAAAATTGAACCTAATTCTACAGATCACATGACCTTATTGCCACGGGAGATTTTTTTTTTTTTTTTGGAAAGATTGGTTATTTCAAACTCATTGCATCCAATAATCCGGTGGTGGTCTGATTGTAGCTTGGATTACCAACCAAAGGCAGCATTTAGGTTTGTCACTTCAGCTAATTAATTTGGCAGCCAATTCCGTATAGCTAAGCGCCTAAGCAGTTTTTCTCTCATAGCCAACGAAAGACCAAACTTCGAAGATGCGACAGTCCTGACTAGGAAACCAGACCTTGCGGGACTCTCCCTGCCTAAGAATATGCATGTTAACGAGGCCAGGCCAGCCCTCCAGGTCCCGTCAGAAACCATCCATCGCAAAATAAAATCCTTGTTCCACTCCTAATTGACTATCCATCATAAAATAAATCTAACAGTAAATGATTAAGCCAATATTCTGGACTTTTGTGTGCATTCCCACTACTGATTTGTATTCTTATGGTGAAGGAGATTTCAATCCCTACAGGAGACTGAGTTTTAGGAGCAAAAGTAACCTAATCTTGTTTGTCTCACATTTTCTTTTCGAGTAATGGTTCTATAGACTCGAGTTCGTGAAAAATATGTTAATTATTGTAAAAATGACTAAAGTTCATTTGTTTTCATGCAAAATTTAGTTCTTGAATGAATGGTTATAGAAATGAGAATGGAGTTATATGTTCATATACTTTATAGAGTACTTCCGATTATGTTGGGTTTTGTCAGCCACAATTTAGAATCTGTAATCTAGCTAGGAAAACAAATCCGCGTACCTTCTGTTAAACATGATTTGCAAGTTTCAATGACTTTATTTCTTTCGGTGACAACAGTTTAATCAGATATTGAATGAAACTTCACATTCATATGTACCTTTACAAAGCCTATGGCTAACTTTCTAAAGCTATAAACAAAAGTTTCAAGCAAGGCTCAATAGGTCACTGGAGATTTAATCATGGAATGAGTCTAGTCTTCATCATGAAACGTCCATCTTAGAATTAACAAAAAGCGATGATTTATGGTTTTATTTGTCTGCTATATTTGTCCTTTGGGTGAAATATTAAAGCTTTCCGTCAGAAATTTGATTCATTTGACTGACGGCTTCAGACCCAGCTTTGTTTAACATTTCTCTATAGTTTTAAACCTATTATCTGTTTTGCATATTTGTATTTAGGTAGATTCTCGTCCTGCATATCTGCTTGCGTTATTTATTGTTCAACTGAAGCCTCACTTGTGTATACTTCAGCAGTCAGCTGTCAAACGTTCAGTGTTATAAAATGTGATTTTCTTTATTAAAATCCTGCAAAATCGATCCTAAACTCAGAAAACAATGATAATTATTGTAAGCAATTGTCAGTTTGTATTTAGAATATTAAGCATGTAGCAGAGGGAGGGAGAGAGAGAGATTTTTTAGATGCTAACCTCCTACAGGCCATTGCCATAAATCTGGGCGGACAAACAACTGTGATTGACCCTCCTTAGCCTCGTGTTAATATTTCCTGTTCACCTTTCCATATATAAAAATATCCCACGAGAATTTCTTTGCCATAAATAATTTATCTGAGAGTATAATTAAATTTTAGTTGGAGCATCTTCAACAAGAATACAAATAATGCAGAGCTGTTTCTTTTTCTTTTTCTTTTTAAATAAACCAACTCAAATGAGCTTGAAAATAAATTAGTAAGTTTCAAAATTGTATACATAACATTAACTTGAGTTTTGGTGGAGCAATGAAATAAACTGACGGAACCAAAACATTTGTTGTAGACTTGTAATGGGATTCGCAGCAACGCAATCTTCCAAAATAGAATTTGTGGGTGCTTTTGCGGTTGTGCCGCGATTCCCAAGGCTGGAGTGGCGTGGACAGCACGCCGCGGCTGCTTCAATTAGTTAATCGGCCTACCTAAAGCTACTGCCTATGATGCCTTCAATATTGATGCTCAATAGATAAGTAGGGGAAAGATTTCGTCTATACCCTTTAATAACAAAAGTTAGATATCAATAACTAATCTCAGATCATCCATCTACAAGATTTGGGATCTTTGATTAATTTAAAATAACATTTTCTTTCCGAATTAACATATCTTTGCGCAAGAGAACAAAAACTTCCAAATTGCATAAAACCAATCAATTAATCTCTCGCACTCATCTCATTTCCTACATTGTTTGTTTGCCTGGTATCACGGGTGGTGTCACCCCTTAAAGATTAACATTTTCTTTTTTCAAATCTACAAAAAATCCTGATGCTTAGCCGTGAAAATAAGGTTCTAGATATATTCTAAAGCTAACCAATTTTTCGACATATTTGGTTTGATCGAACGGATAAAGATTGTTGGATTCTTGGATTGGATTGACATGCGTCACCAGAGGTACACTTCAGGCAGGGCCTTGTTAAACTCCTTGTCTGAGGCTATTGCCATTTTTTTTTCCCAAGTTTGAGACAATTAAACACTTAACCTCTTAAGGAAGACACCAAAGCCTTTTTGGTAGTCACTATCAATAAAAAAACGACACAGCAGGCCGAAAGTGAACTTCTTCCAATCAAATCAGAAACTATCTTGGGAAATTTCAAAGAAGCTTTATTCATTTCTGGGCTTTGAATGTGACCCTGATCGTAATAAATCCCGGTGGTTACGGAAACAATGTAGTGGCTAAAAGTTGAATTTGAAACAAATTGAAGAAGAGAATAGTTGACTTGACTCCCCCGGATTCTTAAACTTGTCTTTGTCGGCTTCTGATGAGTTAGCCATTGGACCTGGTCTTGAAGCAACCTAGGCAAAGCTCATGGTCAAATAGAACTCTTTTGTAAAAGACAAAAAATTTAGGTTCAAAAGCTGTCAATAGAGGAAAAATGAGAAATATATTCACAAGTATAGTGAAAACAGCAAATGTGATCAAAGTGGATTGGCTTATTTAATGTTAATTAGATATATGCAATTTTGCGTTCCATGTAGGGATTTGTTGAAAACGAATTGAAGTTTGGTGGCTAATTACAGATGCATGAACTTTGCTGATTTAGTCACGGACCAGATTGAAATGAACTGCCACTCTTCAGTCTTCTGGTTGAGGCAAGCAGCCTGTCATCCAGGTTTAGACTTTGGGCAACAGGACTTTAATTGTTGATCCAGTTACAATTTGTTCTGAATTGTTAAATGTAGGAGTCAATAAGAATCAAGTTGTTAAAAGTTTCGTATCAGTTGTTACAACTTTTAGTCAACAAGGAATGGTAACAAAGTTTGAGTTCTATTCTACCAGTCATTCAATCTTAATAAAATATTGAAATCTTAATTTTAATGATTAAAATTTAAATTTTGATAATTTGCAAAAAAATAGTTTCAGTTCTATGACATTAACGTTCAAGATTATAGAATTTTCTCTTGAACTCGTTCGTTATTGACGACATAAGGGAAAAAAATAGTTTCGAATTCAGGTTGTCGTTTAGCTTTTCAATACCAATTTGGGTTGGATTGGAGACACTTCACATCAAGTGCAACTTTTTCCACTGAAGTCGTGTGTCCGAGATATCCGAGAACCAATTCTGGGTTAATCATAAGGAGGTGCTGGACTTGGACACCTGGACCTTTGCTGATTGGGACTTGGACTAATTTATGGGCCTAAATTTGGTTTTGGGGGCTCACTGATGGGTTAATTTTGCCCACTACTCAGTAATATTAGAGATGGGATTAACTATTGCTTGCTTGTTGCCACTG